TCCAACCTTCTCTCTCCCTTGCGAGATGGCTGGACACCAGCTCTATGACATGATGCATTCGCTCCTACACAACATTGCGACCGGCACCGCGTCCGGCTCACCAGGCAATTGTGGACCGAACTTGCAGCTGTCATCCCAGATGACGCAGCCCATGAACCTTGTACCGTCACCCAACTCGCAGACGGCATCCTTCACACCTTTCCCCATGATGCCCTACGGCGGCCTCTCGAACTTTGGCAACCCGATGGCCATGATGCCCTACGGTGGCCCTCCCAATTACGGCAACTTGGCACCTGGCACCATCATGCCTTTCATGACTCAGAGCAGCATGCCATCTTCACTGCCCGAGCCTCAGCCGGCGCGCGCGCCCGAAGCTGCCGCTGCGGCTCCTGCCGCTACCTCCTCAACCAACCACCCTCCCCCGGACACTCGGCACCATCCCCACTCTCGCAGATCCCGTTCCCGCCACAGACAGCACCGACACTCCCACTCCCACACCAGCCACCATCGCAGGCACAACAAGTCGCACCGACGACACGACACCCGACGATCCCGCAGCTACAGCAGGTCACGTTCCCCTTCCCGACACTTCCACCACTCCCGACGTGCACACCACTCCACTGTCTCCCTCCGCTCCCGCTCCCCCCGACACAGGTCCCACCATCGACACTCCCCTGCACCCAGAGCCACGACTTCGCACCGACCCACTCACACTACTCATGATTCCACCTCCTGGCGCACTTCCGGGAAGGATTCCAACAAGTCTCAGTGGTCCTCCTCACACTGGTGGAACCAATCGTGGGGACACCCACCACAGAACAAAAACCGCTGGGACATGCACCACCATGGCACCAGCCACACCGGCCACCGAAACAACCAGGAAAAACGATCGTCCTGGTCACTGCAGCACCATGGGCAGCAACCCCACCCCACTTCCCGCACCGGCCACCACAACACTAGCTTGCCCCCTCACCCAGCACCTGCGGCGGCCTTCACTTCCACTCCCCCTCCCCCTCCCCGACCCACGCTGGCTACTCCTCACCCTCCCCAACCCCCCTTCGACAACACCGGTGATTTGGATCCCCCTCCATCGGAGGCGGACATCAATGCCACCACCACTTCCGACAACCGGTGGCTTGATCTATGGAGAAACGTCATGGACACGGCCAAGACTGACCCGCTGCGAGTTCCCACGCCAAGGGAGTTGGGGGAGCTGGACCCGCTTCCAGCCTTGGACATCTCCAGGATAGAACAGACTAAGGCCATTTTGATGAACCTGGACCCTGCTTTGCCACCTTCACATGCCGATCTCCTCGCGGAATGCTGGGAACTGCGAACCATGGACACGGATGATCCCATACCGTTCGGTCCCAGCTTCTATCACCTCTTGGGACGGGAATCACACGGCATGGTGTTCGCAACCACTTGGTTTCCTCGACCTCATCCTTGGCCAGTTGCTGGCGGAGACCCGGAAGCTGGATCCGGCACGGCCTCCCATCACGCTGTCATGTATGTGCACGGCACCACCCCGGATCGAGTGCGCCGCATGTGCCATGAGAACATGATCCGACCCGCTGCTTGGAGGCCCGAGAACCATGACTACCCGAGCTTTGGATGCTACGCTCAGGCCACCCCCACGGCATGCACGCCCGACACGCTCGGCCAGCTCTTGCAGAACTTTACAATCGGAAAGTCTCAACTCGGCGCCATCGCTTTTGGGGAACTACGCTCCATCAATCAGCACAAAATCCTCGAATCCGGGGGAAGCCACGAGGATCAACACAACGTGCGGCGCCACTTCGCATGCCGCCGAGGCAAAAAGTGGTGCCTTCACTCCAAGTTTGCGATGCTGAGAGGCATCGCGCTGCAGCGCCCGGCTTAGCGGGACGCAAATGTACCATCTTCCACCCGACCAGGAAAAGAATTGGTGCACTGTTTGATCGCTTTTTTTTTTTTTTTTTTCTTTGCTTTGCTGTTCTGCCTCTCTGCGACCGTTCTCTCGCCTTGTGACCTTACCCGCTTGATTCCGCTCACCAGCTTTTGGTTCGAACATTTCCTTTTCCCCCGTGTTTTCTCATGGCTTTCCAACCCCCTCGAGGTTTGGTTCCGATGCTCCAAAGGCAAAACTTACCACCGCAGCCTTCGCCCACGGCATCCCATCATCATGGCATCATGTACGGCAACAACATGGCCGGAAACCCGTGCGGGGCCCTGTCCGGACCTTCCTACGGATGCTCTTCCACGACATGGACACCGCCAACTACACATCCGACTCCCTGTCAGACCTACGGCCAACCTATTCCCCATTACCCACCACACCCCGGCCCTCGTCCACCCTCCTTTGGCGGCTCTCTCCCCCCCCCTCCCGGCGGCAACCCCTTTCCCCCCCCTCCCCCCGGCCCCTTCACCCGCCCTCCACCTTTCCCCTCCCCCTCCACCGCCTCGCAATCCAAACCTCCCCCGGCCCTTCGACCCGTCCACTCAGTCCCAACACCAACCGAGTTCAACCCTGGCGACGATCACTACGACACCACCCGCGTCGCGGGGTACGACCTGCCCAAGGTCATAACGCACACCGCGTTTACTCGGCAAATGGGCATCGAGGGACAAGACATCGCTCGCGTCCCCCTCCTCCACCTCATGCACGAACAGTGGAACAGTTGGTGGTTGCGTCACCTCGCCCACGGAGGCGAAGTCCGCATCGTTGTCGCAAAGTCGATGCCGGAATCAGTGTTTGCTGCTGGACTACTCAGCCAAATCCGACAACGGCACCTCGACCTGGACGCCCTCGCCCTCCATGTAGCCACGCAGGAGGGCGCCTCGACCACCAAACCAGCAGCCATGAAGCTACTCACCAGCAAGATCTTCGCTTCCTCATCTCCCTCCGACCCACCACTACGGCCGACCCGGCCTCCGCGGCCACCATACTCCAGCTTCAGCAACAGCTTGCTGACGCACACAACCAACTCGCCCAGCAGGCTTCATCCCCCCCCCTCCCCCCCACACCCACCTCATCCAACAAACGCCCAGCCGATCCATCTCAGGCCTCCCTCCTGGACTTCGGCATGAAGCGACCACGGTTGACTACACCTGACACATCACCGCAGGACGGATCCCCCGCCCTACCCCTGCCCACTCGCATTGCAGACGACTCCCAACCCCCCCCGGCTCCCCCCACCCACGGCGGCAACCCTCCAGCCCCCTCCACCCACGGCGGCACCCCGACCCCTCCCCCCCTCCCCTCCCCACCCACTTGGAAGGAGCCCCGCGACTTGCTCCAACCACCTCCCCACGTTTGCCAATGGCTCACCAACAACTTCCCACCCGACATTTCCGACACCAAAGTCCAGCGATGGATCACCTCCCAGAAAACCAGCAAAGAGAGCAAGCAAGTCCTAAAAAGCTGGTCCAACGACTGCGCAAAATGGGCAACCACACTGGACTCCGACACCAGAGCCCAACTCGAACGAGCCGCTGTGCTATGGGGCATCCCGGTGCGAACCCTATCAAAACTGGGGTCATCGGCCTTGGGCCGCATCCTGGCCGCTGCGAGTCACTTCTACCAGTGACTCTCAACAGCACACCGACAACGACGCACAGCCAGGCAGCACAAATTTTGGCAACACCACTGCTGCCAATTTCTCACTGTCCTCCGTTTCACTCTTCGGTTCTTCCCAACCGATGACGTCACCGCACGTCAATTTTGCTCCTGGCTACTCGCACAGCTTCAGCTACTTGACGTCTGCCATCTCTCCTGTGGTTCCGGCAGACTGAAAGCCCTGCTTACTCGACTTGGCCTGGACAACCCTGCTTCCGATTTCTCTTCTCAGCTTGTCCCTTCAGCGGTTTATCTGAGATTCACCAGCCATCCAAAGTGGCAGACCTTTTTCTACCTCGGAGCCACTCGCACCTCCCTCATGGCACGGGACCACAGCCGACTTCGGAAACTACTCCAAGTTCAGCGACATCATCTGGTCAATGCCGAACTAGCAGTCCGGTGGTGGGCACATTTTGACATTTTCCACCACTACACCTCGGTGCCCATTCACACTGCCGTTCCAGCAACGGACCTATTTGCCACTGAACAGTTCTACATCCAGGAACTGCAACCGTCTCTCAATTTTGGCTTCATCGAGAAACATTTCCGGCCACGCACGGGCTTCACACGCCAATTGGACTTCTCCCAATCCCGGCACATGGGCTTCGCCACCATTTGGCGAAAACGCCGCCGACTACGACTACCCATCGCCCTACAACAGGCCTTCCTGGCCAAACGCGTGGACAACCGCCTGGATTTGTGGCGATTTTTGGGCGATCTTGGCAGCAACACTCTACGACGATTTGATGCCATCCGTTACATACGGAGCAGAGACTTCCCACCCGCCGCTCTCTATGTCCTTCATCGCATAGCCACACACCTGCCTGAACCACACCACCAGGCATGCCTTTCCGCCATTCGATCCAGTTTACGATTCCGGGGCCTCATTCCACCTGGCCCCTCCAGACCGATGCTTGCACCCTTCCTCGCCCATCCTTCTTTCCGATCCCTGCTTTTAACCCAACTTCGCGGGTTTATTCGATCTACCACTCGCAGCGCTTTACCGTTTCACATGGCACAACCACGCATTGTCTTCAAGGCACATCGGAGACTCTCCAGTGCCTTGTTCTCACATCTCCAGGCAGCAAAAACCTGGAGTCTCGGTGAAACGACCTGCACATGCACCGACCTCGCCCAACGACACCCATCCCTCCCGAAGCATGACGGACACCTTCTTTTCTCCGGTGCAGACACCCATGAGCTGTTCGACTCCGACACTGCCCACATGCTATCCGGATCGATGCGCAACTCCTTCTTTCCTCCACGAGGGGTCTTGATGAGTCGCCTGACCCAGGCATTTCAACACTGGGCCAGGACCAACAACCTACCCGCGCTCGACCCATCAACCCTCACTACTATTGTCGAATTCCATTTCGACCTCCACCTTTCACACACATCACAGTACTTTCTTCACGCCCACGTCCAACGGGCTCTGCATACCCTGGAACCCCTTGTCCGCCATTGCGAAGACCATGCGGACTCCCGACTCATGATCTATTGTCCCGTTCTCTACGGCAAGATGTTGGAAGCCACTTTTGCGGACCCTGCCATCTTCGCCCCTCTGCCGGTCCCTGCCATTGAGATCCACCAACGACTACGAGAAACCATTGTCACCAGATTCCGCGGCCGCTATCCTTGGGCCGTGACCGGATTCGGAAGGCCAGCCAACGCCTACATCCTCCCGAAGAGGAAGAAGAACTGGACCACTGCCCGACCCATCATCAGTTTCATTGGCGCCTTCTTCCGACCCATGCTCGACGCTCTCGCCAAGCTCCTCCACAGCATGGTGGCCACGGCTTGCCCTGACGCGTTTTCAGGTGGCGACCTCTTTGAACTCATGCGGTCCTTGCACGAGTTTCTAAGCCTCGGCCACACCCATTTGGACTACCGAAACCAGGACCTTTCCGGTTTTTTCACCTCCATCGACAAAGACCGCTTCTTAGCAGCCTGGCGACTACTGCTAACCTGGTACCGACAACGACAACCACACTCCTCTACCACACACCTCACAGTGGACACACTTGACACCTCTGCCATCACCCGCGTCTACAACGGACGCCGTCGCCGACACAAACCCACACAACGCACCCTGTGGCTCGACGACATCCCCGAGATCATTCAGGCCACCCTTGACATGCAGATCTTCTCTGTCGGCCTTCGTTCATTCAGGCAAACACGTGGGGCACCGATGGGATCCCCCGCGTCCCCAGCTCTCTGTTTGATGGTGATCGCGGTCGCCGAACAATGTTGGACCAACACTCACATCACATCGGGACTTCGCTCCGTTGATGATACTCTCCTGCTCCGCTACGTGGACAACAGACTCGTGATCGCAACCCCCAGGTGGCTCTCGACTCCGGCAGCCAACATACTGTGCGACGAACACTTCTATGGAGGAGACATCTTCCTGGAAACAGAAGCCGCCCTGGACTTCTTGGGGTTCCGACTGAACCTCACAAGCAGCACCATCTCCTTCATTCCCTCGCATGAGAAGCACAACATGCTCTCCGTCAAGTCAGCCGCACCAATGATACATAAGGAATCTGGATATTATTCCAGACGCACGCTGATCAGCCGAGTTTCCTTTCCTGAATTTCAGCGAGATCAGGATCTTGCAATGTTGAAGAGGTTGTACCTCCAACACGGTTTCACCTTACAAAGAGAAGAAAAACCGTCCTTTGCGAAACCACACTGGTTTTCTTCTCTGCCTTTGCATCCTGACAGATTTGACCTGATTTTCGTGCCGCAGCTGTTTGACTGTTTGACCAAAATCCGTTGCGAGCATGGATACCAACACAGCACGCCAGCTGCTCCAAGACTTCGAACTCATCCTTGGCATTGCCCAACAAGGCATCGCCACCATCCGCGAGTTCACTGAGAGTCCGACTGCCGAACCTGATTTGGCACCGGAGGCCACGCTCAACCCCGCCATTGAGGACCTGACCAACTCACCACCAACACCCCTCCTGGCCCCCCTCGAGGACCTCTTTGAGCCACCTCCTGATGCTCCAGATGAACACCTTCCCACTGATCATGACGAACAATTCCCTGATCATTGGGCCCCGCCCACTCCTCCTCCGTCTTCTCCCGACAAAAAACGAGCTCGCCGCACACGTGATTTGGCCTCCTCACGATCTACGGCATCCAAACCTGCTCGTGGACCAAGCGAAGCTACCACATCGACCAGGACTGATGCCTCTACTGAGGCCGAACCTGAAGCCTCGCAGCCTTGGACTGAGGGAGAGATTGAACTCCTCCGTTCCCTTAAGACCAATTCCAAAGCCAAGTATGCGTGGTCAGTCATCGCCACAAGACTTTCTCGCACAATTGATGCTTGCAAGACTCAATGGGCCTCGCACAAGTGATGTCGCCCCAGTTGGGGCTCCGTGTGTGTGAAGCGTCCTGGAGCACGGACGGAAATTCCACATTGCAGGGGAGTGCGGCATGACTGAGGGACCGCACTCAACGAAGCTACCTCAGTCATGGGATATCGGATCTGATCAATCCGACGTACCTGCCTATTTCCTTTTGCGGTGTCTGTTTGTCGCTGTTGCTTCCTGTTCGGTGTCGACGTTGTGACCTGTTGATTTGCATTTGCATTCGAGCATTTTTACTGACTGCGGTTTTCATCTCGGCTAGTGAAGCCTCTCGAGATAAGTGTGTGGTGTGTCAAGCGCGTGTGCGTGTGTGTGTTGGTTGAAGGGAAGAAACGCCTTGTCACCTTGGCTTAAAGGAATACTGCGGAATTCAGAAGGACCTGTCCTAGTCTCCTGAAGCGACCCGTTTTGGGGGAATCCAGCCTCCGAAAAGGCGAGGTCGCCGTCGCCCACCGCCAGGGTGCGAGCGCCCGCGGGCAGAAGCCTCACCCCAAAGCGGAAAATCACCGCAGGGCCTATGCCATAGGGAAGATGTCTTCGCCGGATAAAATACAATCCTGGGGTTTCCAGCGGGCCGAGATTTAATTTGTGCTTTTTGTTTTATTTTGGGGTTTGTTTTTGTTTTCCGTGTTTGCTAGTAAAATGCTGTATTTTACAGCACTTTCTCACGAAATGTACGTGTTTTAGACTAGCCCGTCAACATCATCAGCATCGTGTTCAACATCCCCAGCATGTCCAGCCAACATCCCCAGCATCACCAGCAAACCGAGGGTTTCCTACATCCTCAGCATCAGTTAAGGTAGGTAGGTATTTAAGTATGCATGTTAAGAAGCAGCCGGGGGGTCCCCCGGATGATGGTAAAAGTGAGGATTCTAATACGGGTGCAAAACACCGAAAAAGTAGCGGGGGGTTGGGGAGGGCAGCAGCCCCCCATAATGGTCGAAAAATGATCGGGTTGGGGGGGCGGCAGCCCTTCCATGATGATCGACAAAGTGATGATTCAATTAGGGGCAAAAATCTAAAAAGTAGCGAGGGGGGGGGGGGGGGGGGTTGGGGGGCGGCAGCCCCCCCCTGATGATCGACCGACAAAGTGATGATTCAATTAGGGGCAAAAAAACTAAAAATCAGCGGGGGGGTGGGGGGGAGGGGGCAGCCCCCCCATAATGATCGAAAAAGTGATGATTCAATAGCGGGGGGGTCAGCCCCCCCCATGATGTTCGAAGAAGTAATGAATCAAATAAGGGGTGCAATGATTCAAGAAAGGGTGCGATAGAATACACAAAGCAGCGGGAGGGTGGCTTCCCCTATGATGGTCGATCAAGCGCATACATACAGACACACATAGATTACATCGATTACATAAAATGTCGCATTGTTTGTTCAGCATTTTCTCGCCTCGAAAAAGTGATGAGTCAAATAGAGGCGCAATCTAAAAAGTAGCGGGGGGTTGCGGCATGATCATCAAAAAGCAATTATTCACTCAGGGGCAAACGATCTAAAAAGGAGCGGGGGGGCGGGTTGTTGGGGGGCTGCCGCATGAACTAGGGGCGCATTCAAAACCAAGCGAGCACTCTGGCGATGCTGAGGATGCAGGAAGCCAAGGCCAAAAACCAACTGGGAAAGCAGAGGATGCGAAAAGCCAAAGCCAGAAAGCAGCCAAAAGCCACAAAGCCAAAAAGCCACCCGCCGGAGAGAAACTGGTAGTGCAGCGGGTGCGAAAAGCCAAAGCCGCAAAAGCCAAGCAGAGAGGAACTGTGAATGCAGAGGACGCGAAATGAAGAGCCACAACAGCCACATAAACAAGCCACAACAGCCACATAAACAAGCCACAAAAGCCAAAAAGCCACCCACCCTGAAAAAAAAAAACGGAAAAACTCTAAACCTCCGCTTCCAGCATTGAAAAAAGACTCTCCAATTACAGGAGGAGAGTCTTATCTGACTTATCTGCCTACTTGTGACTGTTTTCCACCATGGATGGATGAATGTGTACGGCCGGGATGCCCTCCGCCTCACGCCGCTCAGCTCCCTCCGCAAGCGTCACAGGAAGCTCTGCAGGGGTTCAGGAGCGGGACCCAGCTCGGGGCTACGTAGCCCCTCATGGCCAGGCCAGCCCGCGCAGGCAAGGAAACTGTTGCACCCAGGCAGCCACCATCCTAGTCATGCCCGCCACCCGCATCCACTGCGAAGAGCAAGTCCCCAAGCTCCCCGAGCGGACCGGCATAGGGGCAAGGCAGCATGACATCATCAGACGCAGCAAGCTCTTCCCCCCGCAACCCCTTGCAGGGTTACTAAGACAGGGGCAGCAAACCGCAAGCTGCGGGGCACTGCCAGCACATCCACCCCATCGCATCTGGCGGCGCGAAAGGGGGCCTCCTCCGCCAGTGGCAAAAGGTCTGCCACCCCCCTGCCAGCCGCTCCACGTCCAATCGTTTGTACCCTCGGGGTGTTGGGGGAGGCGCCAGGAAAGACAGCGCCCGCCCCCTGACAGAGGCACTCCACCAGCAGCATGAACGAGGAATGCAGGGAACGGTCAGATATTGACACAGGTCTGCCCAGCTTAAAGGGTGGGCCCTCTGCATCTAAGTGTCAAGAGCCTTCTTGAGACCGCAATCCGCCCACAAATTGGCATGAGGTGACGGGACCCTCCTGACAAGAGACGGCTTGGACAAAACTCCGATTTCACTTCGGGATCAGCACCCCTTCAAGCGCTTGGGCCCACGCTTCAGCTTCGCATCCCGCGACAGCCCTAGCAGCTTGAGAGCTCAAAGTAGAAAAGATGTTTATTTCAAGGTCTTGCTGACTGGACCATTGGTCAAAGATATTACTCTTCCAATGTGTCGAAGTTGGGGACAACAAACCGTGCATGCGCAGCAAGGTGGCATCCTTTGAGAGCCCGCACGCCTTCGTCGCGCGAGTCGAGGCACCTCGCGGCAAACAAGCCGACTGTAGCTTTCTGCGACAGGGAGGAAAAGCTGCACACGACGAATGTGGGGACACGTGGGCAACGTGTGTTGTTGAACCGCCGATCGAGCTTACAATGCAGCCCAAACACGAGGGATCCAGCGATCCGATGGCGTCACAAATGCTGGTCCAGCCATACTGATCCATGATCCTCTTGCATGGCACCAAAGCACAGCCCCTCGACGTGCTAGCTTGGTTTGTAGTCTTACCCCTATCTCTTGTCGAACCTTCCAAACGCAACTGCGCGGTGATACTCGTGACTGCACTCAGCAATGTCGACAATGTCGCTTGGTCCGCTAGGAAAGCTGCAGTGCCCTGGTGTTTGGGCCACTGCTCATGGGTCACTCGCATGCCCTGAAGCCACAAACAGCTGTTGGTGCAAATTCATGTTGTCCGTGGCAACTCCCGCAACATGACAGGAAGCCCAGAAGTGTACGGAGGCAAGACAAACGGGCAAAGTAATGAACCAAAGAGTAAAGCCCAAGCAACTCAGGGAAATTGAAAGCCTGGCCAACAATGGCTTGCAGAGACCTCCGCAACACAATTGGAAGAGCGCACCATATTCAGCACTCTGGTCCGTTGTGTGGCCATCCCCGTCCCTTGAAGCATTGAAAATTGTTCAGCGACCCAAATCCTTCACCTTGAATGCGGTCGCGTGTCAAAACCTTCCTGTGTTGCGTTCGAATCAGCCCTTTGTGAAGTCAGGAATGGCGTGCAAACCCAGCAAGAACCTCTTCTCAGAGCTGCACTCGTCGGCGGTTTTCTGCTTGCAGTGAGTCTAGTGAGCCCGACTCTGAAGTCTGACAGCCGGTCTGAGACATGGCCCCTCCGATTGACGGTGGAGGCGCATCTACGGTCTGCGCCACAGTCAAAATGCTCCGAAAGCTGGACTGAGTGTTTTTGTTGCATGTCATGAGCTTCCTGCCCATCAAGTATGGATAAATCAGCCGCTACTTTGACCGTGCCGCCTTTGCCCAAGTGCCCCGTCGGCTCCCCTCAAACCTGCACAGTGTGCAATGTTCACAGCGTGACACTCCGGCGCGATTGCACTTTGCCAACGTCTTACAGGCAAACTTCTGTTCGGCCCTGAAAACCGAACGTGATCTCCTGGCACCACAAAAGACTGTGGATTCCTTGATGGCCAGCAAGGGCTGCTTACTGCTTTGCGTTTCTCAAATACACAGAACCCGTCGGAAAAAGGCACGATGTTGCACACAAGCCGCTTTGCATGAATGATGACATGCCGATGCATCCGATGCCTGGTTACAGGTCGAGCAAATCCATGTTGCCAGCACTCTGGCCCTGTGGTGCGGAAGAGGTATTAGTCTTAGCAGCGCCTCCAGCACCTCAGGCGAGTCTGGCGCCGATGCGCCGATGCGCCGATGCGCCGATGCACGAAGACCGAGCTGCAGGCGTTGGGGCGCTGCGGGTGACTGGGCTTTCCGGTATGCGACGGCCTTCTTTGCACCCTCGCCATCCTGGGGTCAACAAGCTCGCAAGGGCAAGAGCCAACCAGCGTCCAAGCACTTTCAGAGAACCAAGCGCAAACACATTGACATCATAAATCTGAGCCGAGATGCACTGTCACTGTCTGTGTCGTCGTTGTGCCCCACGGCAACAACCCCGTTGAGGATCAGCTGGCCTAGGCAAGCATACTCTGGCAAACATGCCAGCGAGTAGTCCTGGCGAGAAGCCTTTGGGAACTGAACATGGCATGAGAAGCCGACTCGTTTGGAGAAACAATGGCTCCTTCTTTTCCGTCGTTGTCTCTCGATGGCACTGGTTCAATCCTAGGAGTCACGCTCTCAGGCTTCGCCATGTTGTACCTCATGGTGTGCTCAAGGACTTCAGTCACATCCAGGGGGGTCAACCCAAGCACTGCTTGGCTGAGCAGGGCACAGAGCGCCACCGGTATAACCAACTCCAACGCTCTGGGTTGATGCGGAGGAGGAAGAAGAATCGCCTGCTCCCGTAGTCGTTGCGTCACTGAATCTGCTGACGCCTCGGCACTGTGAGACATCAAAGCGAGCCTGGCCCAAACCTTCACTGGATTCTCTTTCGCTGCCCAGTGCGGCTCGCTAAGGCTTTTACGCAGGACTTTGGCACGGGATCTCGAGCATCCGAGGCACTGGCTGCTGGCTGCGGGCTTGGGGCTGTCCTCTCCGGCTGTTTCAAGCCTGGCGCTCGCGCATGGCTCATGGCTCAGCGCGCCATTGGGCACACCGCATCAAGCAGTGCAATGCCTCGGCACCACCTCACTTCGGAGACCAGTGGCCTCGCAGTTGCAGCTGGTATTGCAACGCCACGCACGCTTTCGCGGCCTTCGTGCGAACCATGTTCTGCACCTGGGGCGCATGCAAGGATCAGCCCGTGAATTCACAATAAGCACCACATATAGCAAGAGGTGAGGTCACGGCTCTCAGGTCGTTCGTGCATTCGAATTTCTCAAGCAAAGAGAGACGCTGCACCAGGTCAAAGTGGCGACCTTACTTTTTGCACTTCCAAAGTTCCGGACAGGAATCTGAACCTGCCCCAAGCGAAAGCCTGCTGAGTCATTGACGGCTTGGGCATTGAGGCCGCGAAAAGAGAACACACAGACACTACAAAAACAAGCAAACCCCAAGAAGCCAGGCCCACTGCAACGCCTAAGACCTTGGAAAGCCTGCAGCGTATGGGCATCTATGGATACCTCGCCTTCGGACGTCTCCGTGATCAGCTCGGGAGCGCCATTCTTTAGGAGCTCCTCTATCAGGACCTCATGCTTCACTCTCAGATGGATCATAAATGCAAGAGGACAAATGGTTGAAACGGGAGGAGGAGCTGCATGCAAAGTGCCCTGGTCACACGAGACAAGACAGAAGCACTGAAATCGGAACTCCCTCTGTGCAAGCAGTCTGGACCCGTTGTTTGCAGCTTGTTCCCTGCCACCCTGGCTAGTCACACAACACCAGAAAGCAAACAAGTAACCCGGTTCAGAAACTTGTTCAGTCACAAAACTCTGTGTACGTTAGTCCACATATAATGAGTGTTCTCTGCGTGCCACATCATTCTTGTTGAGCTCTATGCCAACCCAGCGTAGATGCGTCGCCATCTTCTACCCTGGAGGCAATTGCATGCACCAGAGCACCAACCTCTGCATCGCTCTGCATGCCGCGCCTGTGGCTCAGCCAAGCAGTCTCGAAGATGCATCATGATCTCACGACGCTCCTGGCCAAAGTGAACAACCTAAGGACCTAAGGGCTGAAAAAAGGTGATACGGTGATAACCCAACACGATGCGTTTGTGAACTTTTGCTTCTCATGCCGAGTTGAAAATCCTCAAGGCCCAATCCAGGAGCCGCGTAGCAAGCTGCGACTCATGGCAGCGTAGGAAACAAAGTTGATGACACCCCCCCCATTTGGAGGGACCCTTTTGCATACCCAGCCCTCCAAAGCTTCAATGGCTGTTGGGCACTAGAAGGGACAAGTGACTCTTACCACTTTAAGAGACCAAAACCAAAACCCTTGAAGCTTTGGACTGCAGTGGAACAAAGCAGGCTCCTCTTCACCCATGCGGGTGGCTTCCACCACCAGCACAAGCACATCCTGGCACAAAACTCAACCCTCGTGCAACTGCTACAGTATCATCCTGCTTGATTCAATGCCCCATATCTTTTTCTAAATTAATCCACATTCTAACCAGTAGGACATTGACATCACTTTGTGAGCGACATGCACATTGACAGTTTCGGCACAGCACCCATTGTCCTTTGGCACTTCTATCACCTCAGCGTTGCCAGCTCTCACGGCTTCATCTGTGGGAGTGGTGTGCGTGTGTAATCTTCCGGCCTGTCCGGAAGAAAAAGGCAAGAATAGGTCTGCGTTAAAACCTTGTCAACGCAAAGAACCATGGGCTACTGCCGCACCACAAATATCAACCAATAAATACAAGCAAGGCAACCACTTGCTGACTTGCATCTAAACAGGGCGTCATACAGCTCAAGCTGTGAAGGCGGCTGAGAAGTGCAAACGAATGAAATTCCAGTGATGTGATGGACTCGAGTCAAAGGCATTGGACTCCGTCGCACGCTGTAAGTCAGCCTGGCCGCATCTCGTGGTATGCGATAATCATGAGCGGATCTCCAAGCAACATAATTAGGGTCGGTCAAAAGTCTAATCCTTCGGTGAAGCGTCAGGCTCAAGCACGCTTATGCATACTTGTTTGCTTTGGGCTTAGGGATGCCTCCATTTGAAAAACAAATCCCAGCGCTTTCAAAAAAATGTGCCCGTTTCAATGATCCTCCGGGCCTTGAACTAAACCCAATTTACCCCGGATCTCCAGACACTTCCTTTCAAATTGCCGACTGCAGTGCCGGACGGCCCAAGCACATGGACCGCGGCCAAAACGTGGCCGACAGCCAAATCTCGCCTGTTTGAAAGTGTCCATGGCCAACACCGACAGAAACTAGAGCCATTGCAAGGGACAAATTGAGAACAGCGTACGGCTCAGCATTCCTCAATAGTCCCTAACGGCTCCTCACCATCAAAGGCAGTCACTGTTGGGCTGCCACGCTTCCTTTTAGCTGTCGTGGCTCCAAAACCGCAGAACAACACAGATCCGTGCCTGCAGCGGTGTTTGGCTGCTCCTGAAACGCTGAAGAAATGCTGGCGCCATGCGACCTGAGTCCAGCTCAGGTCTGCTTGATCCTGCGTAGTTCGTCTTTTACTTTCTTGCAAAAGGCAGGGAAGAGTCCAACAAGCGCTGGCCACATGTGTTATCTGCACGTTCTAGTCCTTCCTCGGGCTTCATTGGTGCCATCGGACAAACAATCCCCCATCCATGACACGTTTCATCATGGCATGATCCAAGCTGCTGAAATGATGGCGACAAATGCTGCTGGTTGCATGGCTGGAACACGACTCTAGCTGTGACAGCGACTCCAGTCAAGCCAAGGTGCAATGCGCGATGCGCGTCCACGAGAAGGGGCTTTGCAGCCAAATGGTTGCGGCAAACTTGCTTGTGGCCCTTCAAATAACCCTGCACACTGGCCATCAGTGTCACTGTGTGACATGTTTTCTCCCTGCCAGCCTTTTGACTCCAGCCTTGCTCTAACTTTCCAACACAAGTCTATCCCGGCTCAGGTCAGATCACGGAATGTCTGATCTCCTTGTTGACAAATAACCTGTGCGTGGCATGTGCACGAACTGGTTTCACCTTGTGACAGCCGCGCATCACGTCGCCCTGGCCTCTCTTGGCAGCCTTCAGCGGAGTCTGCTGCGTCGGCGCGCTTTCCCGCCCCTCGAAGATCGGGGCCACCTCGAGCGGAAAACAAGTTCGGGGGGGAGGGGCCTCCAACACCAAATCGTTTTTTAGGTAATTTGCCAAACGCGAATTGCTTGGTTTTTAGTTTGGGAGATGTCGGCAAGCGCCGAGGCTGAACACGAAAAATGATGGTCTGGGGCTGAGCCTGGCGTGCGGAAGCTTCCAACATTCTATCATACATGCACACATTGTCCAGCACAGGCACCTTGGCAACCAGAACCCCCAGCACGAGGATGGACGTGCCGAGCACTTGCTCTATGCTGCAGGCTTCGTCAAGCCAAACTGATGCCAGGATCAGCACCTGCAGTGCTTGGCACCACCTTCAAGCAAACATAGAACCCATTCAAATGAGGCATTCTGGCGTCCCTATCTGCTCCTGAACGCGTAGTTGCAACGTGCGCATGTTTCCGGAGCGATGACTCCAGAGGACACTGTTTACACAGTGTATTGATGGTACTGTATATGATGGTCCTCAAATCCGATCAGTGGCATCGTCTTTCTTTGCATTTGCAAGTGTGTTTCCATTTTCATGTTGAAAGCGCTTATCTCCATTGCCCATCCAGCAAGTCCCATCTTGACACTTGCTCTTCAAACATGCACACCCACATGCAAGTCACCAATGTGCAAATGAGGCGCGAAGACTAATTGCAGATTGCCGAACATGTTCTGCATCACGGGGCCTAAATACCGCATGGACGTCCACTGTGACCTCAGTGGCAAGCAGCAAAAGGACAAAGGGAAAGCCATGGATCTCGGGCGGGAAGGTCACGCTGGGCCGCCGGCAAATTGAGCAACACTGCTGCCGAACAGGACACAAACGCTGCGACCATCCCACTCTTGGAAGCAGATGTGAAATGCCGCACGAGGCCTGGCAAAGCAAAAATCGCACAGCCCCAAAATGCGGTCTCGTTGTTGCTTATGCTCAAGGATTCCTCTTTTGCGTTTCTCTCTTCTGACGTGTTTACCCACAAACACCGCTCTCCATTGTCACAGGCGAAGGGGGGCCACATGGTCCGCTCGCGCCCTTGATTGAAAAAGACAAATAATGCCCATGCATGTTTGCAAGTCCTGCCTGCCCCTTCCCAGCAAACGACGAAGGGCAAAGTCATCAGAAAAGTCCATAAAGCGCCCCAGGCCTGGCAAGTTTTCAAGTCTGAATAAGTCACAATCAGCTTTCAGCTGAGTGGTTATTGTTGTTCCCTTTAAATTTGAAGGGACGTATGGGCCCCTTCCGCGAAACTTCCGCAAAGCTTCCGCAGTGAGGGTACCTTCCGCGAGCATATATTAGTCCTTCCGCGCGCCTTCCGCAGGCAGGTTGTTTGGCTTCCGCGAGGGAATTCGTGTGCACGATTACAAATGCAGTTCTGGAAAAAGCACATGTAATGCTGGAAAGAGCAAAAATGAACCATGTCCCTTCCACCAGCTTCCGCGGGAAAAGCAACGTCCGCAAACCTTGTGCGGCTGCAATGTGGCCTACCTTTTTTGTTGATATGTCCACCTCTAGACATGGTTTGCTTGAGCGGGACAAAAATCTCTCAGCTGGCGCCGCGTACATAGGAAGACATCGCTGCTTGGGGCCCACTTTATCCATGGAATTTGGCAGGGATCCCCAGACTTACCAGGAAATAGTGAATACACATTGAAGGCAGGGGTCTGAATTGGCTGGATGCAAGGTCCACAGCTTGCACCCACAGATGGACAGGCCAACCAAGCCAAGCCATCAAGTCACCAATGAAGCGCCTGACTAAAATATGCAAAAACGCCAGTCGCCGGCAAGCTGCTGCCAGTCGCGCAGGCTGCAGCTGATCCAGGTTGAGCAGCTGTTGCTGCCAAATGGACTTCACCTCTCAGGGCCAAATGACCGCTGCCGAGCCCAGTCAAGCAAGCTGTAGCGGGACGGTCAATGACGGCAAAGCCTGCAGAACTAGTAAATCCTCCTCTATGCAGGAAGCTCGCGGAACTGAATCGAATCGGCTGGCGCGAATCGCGCCGAACCGGAACCGGCGCGAACCGGCCGCGCGATTCCAGGATACGAATCGACACCAAGTACGCCAAACCGGCGAAACGAAACGAAACGAAACGAAAGGTTTCCGAACCGAATGGAATCGAAACGGGCCGGTTGGAGCAGAGCTGGCAAAGATGCGGCTGGAGAAAGGAAGTCTAAGAGATTGCATGGGTAGACAGGTTAAGGTCCAAAGGTTGAGCTGTAGGTGGAAGCCAAAAGGTTTGTTTAGAGGGGCCTCTCAAGGTTGCACCCCAAAGGTTGGAGCCAGAGCTTGGAGCCCACCCCACAGCTCACCCAAAGGTTGGAGCCCAGAGCTTGGAGCCCAAAGGTTGGTTCGAGGTTAAGGTCAGAGGTTTGGGTTTGAGGTCGGGGTTAGAGGTTGGGGTTGGAGGTTAAGGTCAGAGGTTAGGGTTAGAGGTTAGGGTTAGAGGTTGGGGTTGGAGGTTAAGGTTAGAGGTTAGGGTTAGAGGTTAGGGTTAAAGGGGGAGGGAGGTTAGGGTTAGAGGTTAGGGTTAGAGGTTAGGCCCAGAGCTTGGAGCCCAAAGGTTGGAGGCCAGAGCTTGGAGCCGAAAAGGTTGGAGCCCAGAGCTTGGACCTCAAAGGTTGGAGCCCAGAGCTTGGAGCTCAAAAGGCAGAGCTTGGAGCTCAAACGTGAGCCTGGAGCCCAGAGCTTGGAGCCCAAAAGTTTGGGCCCAGAGCTTGGAGCTCAAAGAATGGAGGCCAGAGCTTGGAGCTCAAAGGTTGGAGCCCAGAGCTTGGAGCTCAAAGGTCGGAGGCCAGAGCTTGGAGCCCAAAGGTTGGAGCCCAGAGCTTGGAGCCCAAAGGTTGGAGCCCAGAGCTTGGAGCCCAAAGGTTGGGGGAGCCCAGAGCTTGGAGCTGAAAGGTTGGAGCTCAGAGCTTGGAGCTCAAAGGGGAGGCCAGAGCTTGGAGCTCAAAGGTTGGAGGCCAGAGCTTGGAGCCCAAAGGTTGGAGCCCAGAGCTTGGAGCCCAAAGGTTGGAAGAGCTTGGGGCTCAAAGGTTGGAGGCCAGAGCTTGGAGGTTGGAGCCCAGAGCTTGGATGTCAAAGGTTGGAGCCCAGAGCTTGGAGCTCAAAGGTTAGAGCCGAAAGGTTGGAGGCCAGAGCCTGGAGCCCAAAGGTTGGAGGCCAGAGCTTGGAGGTTAAAGGTTGGAGGCCAGAGCTTGGAGCTCCAAGGTTGGAGGCCAGAGCTTGGAGCCCAAAGGTTGGAGCCCAGAGCTTGGAGTCCAAAGATTGGAGCCCAGAGCTTGGAGCCCCAAGGTTGGAGCCCAGAGCTTGGAGCTCAAAGGTTGGAGGCCAGAGCTTGGAGCCCAACGGTTGGAGCCCAGAGCTTGGAGCCCAAAGATTGGAGCCCAGAGCTTGGAGCTCAAAGGTTGGAGGCCAGAGCTTGGAGCCCGAAGGTTGGAGGGAGCCCAAAGGTTGGAGCCCAGAGCTTGGAGCCCAAAGGTTGGAGGTCAGATTGGAGGCCAGAGCCTGGAGCCTAAAGGTTGGAGGCCAGAGCTTGGAGCCCAAAGGTTGGAGCCCAGAGCTTGGAGTTGGAGGCCGGAGCCAAAGGTTGGAGGCCAGAGCTTGGAGCTCAAAGGTTGGAGCCCAGAGCCGAGTTGGAGGAGGACAGAGCTTGGAGCCCAAAGGTTGGAACCCAAGAGCTTGGAGGAGGACAGAGCTTGGACCCAAAGGTTGGGGCCCAGAGCTTGGAGCTCAAAGGTTGGAGGCCAGAGCTTGGAGCTCAAAGGTTGGAGGGAGCCCAAAGGTTGGAGCCCAGAGCTTGGAGCCCAAAGGTTGGAGGCAAGGGTTGCCATGACCATCACACACTGCGGTCAGGGCAGTGGACGCTCAGGGGCTGTCAATTGCCACACACCCAGAACTCAGGAGCTCGCCTGCTTCAAAAAACATTTTTGTTGGGTAGTTGACTTGAAAAGGGAAGGAAGATGCCACTGGAGGTCAGGGTGCCGATCACCTTCCATGCGACCCATGAAAGGGATCAGTAGAAGCAAGCACAAGCAGAACTTCTGTCCTGTTGGATAAAACAAATGATGCTCAAACAAAAGGAATTGGAGGACGCAGCCCTCAAAGGATGGAACAAAGGTTGGAATGCAAGGTTGGTTGGAAGGGTTCTGGATTGAAGGCCTTTGGGACAAGCATATGACTACTGGCAGGATCAACCAGGATTTGCCGGTGGACGCAGGAAAGCTTTGGCAAAGGGATTTGGAGGCGCTACCTCCAAAAGTTGGAGGCTGGTTGGAGGGACGAAGGTTGGACGACGGAAGGGCGGCCCTGGAAAAGTTGGAACATGTGGAGTGGCCCCCCAAAAGGACGGGCGGCCTGCGGCCTGGAAGGGCGGCCCTGGAAAGGTTGGAACATGTGGAGCGGCCCCCACAAAGGTTGGAGAGGCGGCCTGCTGCCTGGTTGGAGGGACGAAGGTTGCAAGACGGAGGCGGCTCAGTGAAGGCTGGAAGGGCGGCCCTGGAGTGGGCCCCAAAGGTTGGAGGCCAGAGCTTGGAGCCCAAAGGCTTGGAGCTCAAAGGTTGGAGCCCAGAGCTTGGAGTTTAAAAGGTTGGAGCCCAGAGCTTGGAGCCCAAAGATTGGAGCCCAGAGCTTGGAGCTCAAAGGTTGGAAAAGGTTGGAGCCCAGAGCTTGGAGCCCAGCCCAGAGCTTGGAGCCCAAAGGTTGGAGCCCAGAGCTTGGAGCGCAGGAGCCAGAGCTTGGAGCCTAAAAGATTGGAGGCCAGAGCTTGGAGCCCAAAGTTAGCCCAGAGCTTGGAGTTGGAGCTCAAAGGTTGGAGGCCAGAGCTTGGAGCTCAGAGCTTGGAGCCCAAAGGTTGGAGCCCAGAGCTGGAGGCCAGAGCTTGGAGCTCAAAGGTTGGAGGAAAACAGAGCTTGCAGCCCAAAGGTTGGAGCCTAGAAAGCGTGTGCCGCAAGGGTTGCCATGACCATCACACACTGCGGTCAGGGCAGTGGACGCTCAGGGGCTGTCAATTGCCACACACCCAGAACTCAGGAGCTTGCCTGTTGGGTAAGGGAAGGAAGGTGCCACTGGAGGTCAGGGCGCCGATCACCTTCCATGCGACCCATGAAAGATCAGTAGAAGCAAGCACAAGCAGAACTTCTGTCCTGTTGCATAAAACAAAATGCTCAAACAAAAGCAATTGGAGGACGAAGCCCTCAAAGGATGGAACAAAGGTTGGTTGGAAGGGTTCTGGATTGAAGGCCTTTGAGACAAGCGTGTGACTACTGGCAGGATCAACCAGGATTTGCCGGTGGACGCAGGAAAGCTTTGGCAAAGGGATTTGGAGGCGCGGATGGAGGCGGCTTGAAGGCTGGAAGGGCGGCCTGGAAAGGTTGGAACATGTGGAGTAGCCCCCCAAAAAGGTTGGAGGAGAAGCCCCAAAAGGTTGGACGGGCGGCCTGCCTGGTTGGAGGGACAAAGGTTGGAACATGGAGGCGGCTCAGAGAAGGCTGGAAGGGCGGCCCTGGAAAGGTTGGAACATGTGGAGAGAGGGACGAAGGTTGGAAGACGGAGGCGGTTCAGTGAAGGGTGGGAGGGCGGCCCTGGAGTGGCCCCCCAAAGGTTGGAGGAGAAGCCCCAAAAGGTTGGACGGGCGGCCTGCCTGGTTGGAGAGACAAAGGTTGGACGGGCGGCCTGCTGCCTGGTTGAACGAAGGTTGGAAGACGGAGGCAAGGCTGGAAGGGCGGGGCTGGAAGGGCGGGCCTGGAAAGGTTGGAACATGCGGAGAAGGTTGGAGGAGAAGCCCCCAAAGGTTGGACGGGCGGCCTGCCTGGTTGGAGGGACAAAGGTTGGAAGATGGAGGCGGCTCAGAGCGGCCCTGGAAAGGTTGGAACATGTGGAGTGGCCCCGAAGGTTGGAAGACGGAGGCGGCTCAGTGAAGGCTGGAAGGGCGGCCCTGGAAGGTTGGAACATGTGGAGTTGCCCAAGGTCCCGCCTTGAATGGTTGGAGGGACGAAGGTTGGAACACGGAGGCGGCTCAGTGAAGGCTGGGAGGGCGGCCCTGGAAAGGTTGTGTGGAGAGGTGGCCTGCCCCCACAAAGGTTGGACGGGCGGCCCGCCCACCCCTGAATGGTTGGAGGGACGAAGGTTGAAAACCAGATCCACAAAGCAGCAGATCCATTTCAAGAACATGCGTTTGCTTTTCCGAAACTTTTCCCTTGTCGGGTTTCTTGCTTGGGTCTCACCATCGGTTGTGGAAACTTTGGTTTATTTTCTGTCTTCTGTTTTTTGCCCCCCAAAAAGCGTTTTGGGGTCGAGGGAAAAAAGCTTGTCCTGCTGAGGTCTCACCGTCCTCAACTCCCTGTAGCAACATGCGTTTGTTTTCTGTCCTCTTTTTCGTTGAAACCAAAAAAAAAAGGGGGATCCCGTAAAACACCTGTCCCGCTGAGGTCTCACCATCCTCAACTCCCTGTAGAGAGAGGCCAGGCCTTCCCCCCCCCTTTCGAAAAAAGAGCGTTCAAACAATCCAGTAGACGCATTCAGTTGTTCTCCGTTTAGATGAGATGCAAACAAGGGTTCCAGTACGGGGCCGCAACAGAAAGGCTTGTAAGAATTCGTTTCCAAAGCGGGCTTCCATGTCGGGACCATTCATGAGCTCCGCATGAGAACGCTCCATGTAGAAATCATGAAGATAGACTTCTTGACACAAGCTGTTTTAGGAGGGCCCCTAAACTCCCAATGCTTGGAGGGACGACGGGCTCAGTGAAGGCTGGAGGGCGGCCCTGGAAAGGTTGGAAAAGGCGGCGGAGAGGGCGCACCCAAAGATTGGAGGAGGCGACCAGCGGCCCCCAAAGCCCCATCGAAACGAATTGAAACGAACTGGGCCTTGGCTGCGAAACGAAACGCCCGAATCGTACGGCGATTCAGGGCTATCGAATCGAACACACCGAAACGGACGTGCGCGCGAAACGGAACGAACCCAAACGAATCGTGAGAACCCTGTCTATGGGGCAATGGTCAACTGGAAAAATCCATGGTCGCCAAAGAAGTTGCAATCACCCCACAGCATCCCTTGCCTGGGTGTATCAGAGATCTTCCTGCCCCTATCTTCGTGTTCCAACAACGAACAAGGCACGCGTGTGAGCGCTCATGTGCTTTGCCTGATTTCTCGCAAACGGGTACATGAGTGGTCATCTGTCGTAAAACTGGTCAATGGTCACTTGCTGGGCCTACTGTTGATGGACAAGAGGCGTTGGATCTGTGGCCAGCCCTCTGCAAACAACAAAAAAACGTCCAGGCATTTGCGCCTGCGATCCTGGTTAACATATTTATCGAGGGGTTACAATGCGAAGTGAGGACCCTGTTAGATTGTCTTGAGAAAGCTTAGGTAGGTTCGCTCCAAAGGGTCGGTGCTTTCTGCCGTCATTTTCAGATTTGGGCCCAAGTTCTAAACGAAACTAACTTGTCTACAATGTGAACAACAAGACTCAGCTGGAAGGTCATCTCTCAACTGCTTCTTCACTCACCAGGCTATCAAATCCACCATACGAAACACTTGCTACATCAAGCTGGCTTTCTGGATCTCAATTTAGGGCATGCCCTGTGGGGCTAATAACCTTCCCAAACAAATAGGCCAGACCGGTCCCTCACGGTTCACACAGTCTCAAGATCCAAGCCACACTACGCGAACCACAGCCCAGCATGACCAGAACCAACGCCAGAAGGGAGGAGCTGTGCTCCCCGCGCACACACAAGGCACCTCGCGGCCGGCGAATAGACTGTGGGTTCCCCGAGCAGAACCCTTGCTCTGCGAAAGGGTTGAGGCTGATTATCTTTTGACGACAGCACGCACTGAAAGCATCAACCCTTTTATCCTGGCAATCAATGGCCATCAAACCCAAGCAATCTAGACGTTCGCCCAACAAGCTGCATTGCGCCACCCTGGCAGTAGTTCCAGCTTCGCTCTAGCTTAGGGGAAAGAGTTCAGTGTCAATGTTGGCCAAGAGTTGGCTTAATATGTTGCGTTTGGCTTAGCTGAAAGCCCTACTTCTGGTTGCCTTACTTTAACCACCACAAGGCTCAAGTTGAGACAAAAGTGAACGGTTGCATGAACTGCAATGTCGATAGCCCCATGCTTGCACCTTCGGCATTCCATCAATTCAAGAGAGGGCGCGGCCATGTGAGAAAGCGACACGGGTGTCTGTCAAGCGGCAGTGTCAAAGTTGGGGGCCCTCCGAATCAATTGTTAATTGGTTTCCTGCAAATGCCTTGTCCCGAACCCAATCGTGTTGACAAGTCAGGAGCTCATGCCAAAACAGCCTTTTACGCTTTGGTCACACTGCTTCAACAATGGCTTGCAAGGTAGCAAAGAGCACCTGGCCGCTCGGCCACCCGGCCACCCGGCCACCCAAATTCGTCGTCCGCACCTCCGACGCACGCCATGACTACGGGGATCATGCTCTTCCACGTGGCTCGACGGAGGCCAAGGCTCAGCTCCATACCTGAACCACAAGCGAACACCCCGCACGGCCCGATGGCCGCCGGGCCTCTCTCTCTCTTTCTCTCTCTTTATCTCTCTCTCTCTCTCTCTCTCTCTCTGTTCATGTGTTCCAGAAGACGTGTCTTTCGTCTTGGTCTCTCTCTACCTGTCTCTCTCCTTGGCAGGGCGCAGAAGGTCAGCACTGGAGTGCAGGAGCCCAGCATGGTCACAAAGCTCACGCTGGCCTCGCGCAGCTTCCACGTTCCCACTTCCCCAGGATCATCTTTTGCACGGATGCACAGCATGCCCCAGCTGCTCAAATATCAGCCCAAAAATCGGGTCCCGGCAAACCTGCTCACCGTTGCTTTTGCCTGCCAGAACCTCTACGCAAGCACACGCATACCGAACCAACAACCAAGCAAGTAAGCAAGCAAACAAATAATCAAACAACAATACATCGCCGCCAAACTGCCACAACAAACACAAACAAACACAAAAACAAACCGCCCTGCACGCCGCTCCCCGGCGCCATAGTCTGCCCATAGTCTTGCCTTAGTCTTCCCATTGTCTTCCCATAGTCTTCCCATATCGTCCTCTCGTTTCCTCCAAGTGTTTCGGTTTTTCTGATCTTCCTAGTTTTCCCCGTAGTTTTTCCCGTAGTCTTCCCCTAGTCTCACCCGGCACGTTGGGCCCCGGTGTCGTGGTCGTCCCCGTAGTCTTCCGCTGGTCGCGCCCGGGAGGAAGACGGGGAAAACTACAGCGGGATCGGGTGCGCCCGGGCGAGACACTTATACCCTATGCTTCCAAAGCCTATTAAAAAAATAGTCGTTGTGACAACCCTGGTTTTTTGATAAAGACTATTTTTTGATGACGAGCGGCAGCCTCGGTTTTGGACTGGAACAGGGACTGGGAAAGACTTGACGCTAAGGCCGCCTCATAGGATCCCAAAGCCGAATACGTATTTTCATATGCAGCAATATGTGGTACAATCTTCAAGGCTAATGTTGGCTTCTATGTTGCTTGGCTTCTTAACATGGCCATGTAGCGCGTGAGGGTGAATCCTCTTCTGACCGTTTCTGTCCTTCTTTTGCCCCACCTTCTTAGCCAAACCAAACAAAACGGGACAGCAAAAATCTTTAGCCATCACAGCAACCATTCCAGGATGAGAATGTTGATCTTCCGGGTCCCCTGCAACATTTGCCCGTTCTAAGCCAAAAATAGTGGTTCTACGCCAAAAAATAGTGGTTCTACGCCAAAAAATAGTGGTTCTACGCCAAAAAATGGTGTTTCTACGGTTTTTCTACGCTTTGTCTATGGTTTGTCTACGCTCACGACGTTTTTGGAGCTGTGTGAAAATTGGAGCGGAAAAAACAAGCACACAATTGCTTGTTGTTCGTGCCACCTGCGCAAAATTGCAGAGGACAACTCTAGAATTTGCTAGAATAAAGGCTCCGTCTACGCAAGACTTTCAGCAGGCGCATTGCGCAAACACGAAAGGGCGCCAAGGACCCCATCAATAAATAGTAATCTACTGGCTCCCAAGGCTTCTTAAGAGGTTGCAATAGCAGGCGAAATTTCGATAAACACAATCTAACAACCCAAAATGGACCCCAAAGGCCAATGTAAAAAAAATAGTGGTTGTCAATGCAAAAAATAGGGGTTGAACAACCCCTATTTAGAAAATAGTCGAGGAAGCATAGGGTATAGAAAACCAGCACCCAGCGCCCGGCGCCTGAGTCAGCGCCACGTTGGTCAAAAGCACGGCCGCCCCACCGGCCAGCGATGAGGGCAAGGTCTGAATGGCCAAACGGAATTCTCCGGGCTTCGGAAGACCACTGGCAAAGGCAGTGAGCAGGGTGAGCAGCATATGGATGGCCTCAGTTTCAGTTCGTCGCAAAAAACAATGAAAGCCTTGTTGGATTCTTAAAAAGAACACTGCCTTTGGTTTTCTTCCCCAGGGGCCCCTGTAGGATGATTCGAAAGGAAGACGCAAAGAAACAAACCGATTGTGCTCCCCTATCATTTGATACGGAGTGGTCAACACTGAAAACAACTTCTCAAGGCTTTACATGGAACTCAACCAGCACAGCATCACTGAGCTCCGGAATTGTTTAGGGAGGTGTGAATTGCTCCTCATGATCAGGCGGTAATGTTGCAGAAAGGGCACTATTGCAGTGAGACATGGAGATACTGTGGCTTGCCCGCCACCAAACAAAGAGGAAACACCCCTGTTTCGGCTTGGAAACAAGCATTGCTGCTCATTGTATCTCAATCGATTTTACCTTAAGCTGGCATCCACTGCTTCTGGCAATGCTTTCACCAAACGGCTTGTTCTTGACAAAGCAGCCTCTTTTGCTTTCCAAACGTCATGTTGCTTCAGGCATGTGTCAAATGTCGGTAGGTCAAGGGGTTCAAGGTGCTGCCAACCCCAGAGAATTTGATCTCGGATCCGCGCAAAGCTCATTTCCACGGCAGTGGAACCCCCGCAGAGCCTTGGGGCCTCTGCCAACCAACATGGTTCAGCCGGCGACTGGCAACCTTGCAAGGGATTCTCCACCTTTGGCATGATCCTCGCAAAGGGACCATGGCCATGCTCACGTGGTACTAAATTGTCCAAATCTCCTTCAGCCTTCTCGTAGACGAAATTCAATCGGAGACTAAACGGAAACCAAAGAACACTCAAAGGCACGCATTGCCATTTAAAAATTCGGAGCCCGAGTTTCACTCACACACACACACACACGCGCACGCACAACATGCGAGAGTGTGCAAGCAGCCCATTTCACCATCCAAAATCTCAGCCCAGGATCCGTCAGGGAGTATGGGTAGGGCAGGCCGCCATGGAACGCCGCTCTCATAGCCACTTGAACGACGGTCAGAGACAGCAGCAGAGTCGACAGGGAGATGAAGGCCCACCAGCCCTGCGTGAGAAGGACGGGAGCCACTGCCACCATCACCTCAAATCTGCAACCGGATCACATCTCTGTCGGGGATGGTCAACTGGCCTAATGCTGTGGATGGGAGCAACTCTGCACAAGGGGGCTGCCATAGCGCTGCATGATTTTGGAATAAACTAGGGGGCCATGGCAGTGTGTGAGCATGCTGGCGCCCAGTCCTTTCACTGCTTGATATTGTTTGGTTGTCAATGCGTATAAACACCGGCCCTAACCAAGCGTTGTGACAGGCCAAACACAGTCCCTGCCACGTGCCGTTATGACCAATACAAAAGACACAACACTTGCAGCATCCATCGCAACAAGTCCAGTGATGGACTTACAACATGTTCTCTCGCCCGTGCCGACATCAGTTCTATAAAGTCGACTCCTCACTAGATGACATTCCACTGCTTCCCTCGAGCGCCCATCTATAGAGAAGGCACTCTCATACATCCCAGTTGGAAAAGGAGACTTGAGAGGGGAGTGTCCACAAGTTATCCACGTGTTCGACCGCGAGCCATTCTGTCAAAAGATCACTCGCCCGTCAAGGCGTGCATCAAAAGCCAGCAAGCTCCTCCATGTGGCTCTTAGAAGGCCCATTGCTGCGGTGATTCTCTCAATAATACTGCATGGTTTCGCACTGCGATGCAGCCAAGCCTGTACATCCCAAATAGCCTGGAGTAAGAGGCCGCGCCTTTCAACCAGTCGTGATTGCTTTCGGTTCGGTGCGCCGATTTACAACCACTCCACCACTCGGTTGAGATGGGTTGCTTTCACAAATCGACAGGCGGCAGGATGCTTATGCAAAGGCACTAACGCTCCCAGGACCGCTGCATACGTGATCTTGCCGCGTCTCGACTCTGCCACAATGCGAGGGTCAAA